CAATGCTCATGAACTTTGGGGGGTCTGGTCCCCTCAAATATTTTATTGGGGGTGCATTTGCAAAATGGCCCTGGAATGCTACCAACTGATGAGTATGAATTCTCATGAATGTGTTTAGGCTGAGAAATATACTATTTATTTAAATTATTTCTTCTCTAAATATCCTTTCTTTTCTTTTCTTTTTTAAAAGCATCTAAAGGAGGCTAACAGAATATAAACCACAAATTGGGCAGGTCCTGGGTCTCTTTCGCAGAGAGGATGACTTGATGGTGGAATCCCGAAAAAAGAAAGGTTATAGTTAAGTCAGGGCAAACAAACTCTCTGAAGACAAGGGTTCAGAAATATTCTCCTTGGAAGAGCAGGCAGGCTAAAGAACCGATTTCCAGACAGAATTGGATATGTTGATAAAGCCCTATAAGCTACCAGCAGGTAATGTTAGTAACGGAGGATCTGATAGGGTTTTCAAGTGGGCTAGCTGTTCAATGGATTTTGCGAGGACCCAGGAATACAAGGAAGTTTCACTTGAGTTTCTCTGAAGTTTAGGCTAACACATTTACAAAAAAACAGGTCAAAGGTTTGCATTAATGTGTATATTTAGAGGGGAAATACTCTTAATTTCAGGAGGAATCCAGTACTTCTCACCATACTTGTTTGCCTGCTCATTCTGCAGTCTAGGCGCTCACTGTTCATGGGCAACTTCAGGGTTCCTGTTCTTGCTTCTTATATTTCTTTTTCTTCAAGTGACTTGAACCAGAGAACCCTTGACAAAGAGTTCCTCTTCAAATGGAGGTCTGTCCTCTGACTGTCCTTCCAACAGGAGGCTGGCTACCTTCTGTAAAATAGGACGCATGGCCTACCCTACTGAAAGCGGAGGGATACTCTCCAATCCTGGCATAGGCAAACTCCAGACCTCCAGATGTTTGGGACTACAATTCCCATTATTCCTAGCTAACAGAACCAGTGGTCAGGGATGATGGGGATTGTAGTCCCAAACATCTGGAGGGCCGGAGTTTGCCTATGCCTTCTCCAATCTATCAGATATGGAGATTTCCTGAGTGCATATAGGGTTATAAGCTTATTGCTCCTCTCTTCCGAGTGCTGTTACTGCTGTCTTGCGAGCATGGTTCAGCTACGACACTACAGCCTAGGAGACCAGTTCCAATCTGGCCATCGTGGTACGGAGATTTCAAAATGGTATTGCCCTAAGATGTGCTGTTTGAGAAGAGAGCCCTTGCATGTGCAGAAAGGAGAGCGTTGAGAGAGAAATAAATACAAAATAAAGAAGACAAACTCCATTTCATAAAGCAGACTGGGTATCGTATGATAGACATCTGGCAGACAGCTCAGCAGATGCTTAATTGCTGATGGTAAACAAAATGCAGTGGTTTTGCTATAGTCCACTGAGGAGTGAGAGGCAATAAAAGGCAGAGGGCTCTCAATGCATCTTCTGATTAAGGTAAACAACCAAGAGTCCTGTTAATTGCACCCTCTTTCTTTCCTTCCCACGTCCCAGCCTCTTGATATTTCAGCAGTGCTCTCACTTTTCTGCCATTGATCCAAAACCAGGGAGACTGCAGAACTGCACGTCTGCCCTCCATCCAGTCTGATGTGTTTGCAAAACCTTGACAACGAAACATAATTTCTTTCCATTACCATTGTTGCTATTGGTCGCCGGAGGATAGCTAGGCTGAAGACAGTGTTGTAGCGTCCTTTGCTGACACCCGGGGCCATTATAAGGACATCAGGGGAAACTAAGCCTTATAGCACCACCCTTGGACTTTGCAGTGTTCAGAGAACTGGAGAATGCAAACACAGGAATGGGGTACCTGTGGCCCTCCACATTTGGTTGGAATCCTACTCCCATCAGCCCCAGGCTGGCATGACCATTGGTCGTGGTTGATGGGACCAAGTTGTGAGCAGCCACAACTTCCCCATTAGTAGCAGCTCATGCAGTGGGATAGAACTGCCTTTCCAACACAATCTATGTTCTTTTACCTGGACAGGGTTGGGGCTGTGTGGTTGCACAGGTGGGGCTGCCCCTGCCAATGAATGAATGAATCTTTATTTGCGTCAGCCATCGGCCGTAGCAATAAAACAACAATACAATGTACAAAGAATAAAAATAAAAAGTCAATTATATAAAATACATTTTAGGGTTTTGAATCAATCGTCAAACAGTGGATCTTATTCTGATTGCCCCAGCTAAAAACCTTGCAACCTTTGCTGTCACCTGCTCATCTTCATCTGCCAAGAGAAAGGACACTGGGGCAGCGGCTGGGCAAGCTGGAATGGACAATAAAAGAGGGGTGATAATCTCATTCCTCAAGTCTTTATAAAGAGTGCAAGCCAGAATGGTATGCACCACCGATTTGGTACTGCCATCTCCACAGGGACATAAGCATTTTTGGTGTGGAATCTGTTGGAATTGTCCCTCGAGTACAGCCGAGGGCAATACATTCAATCTTGCGAGAGTAAAAGCGTGTCTATATTTTAGCATTGCTAGGTTATGCAGATAGGGTGCCAGAGAGTCGAAATGGGAAGGTGGAAAATAGTCATACCATGGGCAAAATTTCCTTATTGTGGCCAAGTTGTTATGACGCTCAATATCAATTAGGCACTGACAAATTAGACTGTTTGCTTTACTAAAGTGAGTAGCTATTATGGTGATAAACCACAAGAGTGAAGTTTTTGATAGACGATTTTTAGTCCAGGCACTCTTGTGACAATCTTGCAGCACCAGGGATATTAGACCAGAGGGATTTGAGTTTAGGCAAAGCCAATAGTTAAGTGTCCTGCGCCAGATCTGTAATTCTACTGAGGGAAGATTAGCCTCTAGGCACAATGATGCGTTTGGGACACAGGGTGGTACCGAGGAAATTTGCCTTAAGAACTTTGATTGGACAACTTCCATAGACCCAAGGTGAGTGCCTGTCCAAATCTGAGCCCCATATAATAACTGTGCTAGGGGTTTAGCTTGGAACACTTCCAGGACGGATGGTATATGTTTAACACCTTTTGTGTGCAAAAAAGCTTGTCAGAATTTTGGCGCTTTCGAACTTTTTCTTTTGTACATTTCTGGTGTGCTCCCCATGACCCTGTAGACTAGAAAATAAGGCCAAGATATTTGAAAACTTTGACCTGTTCAATTAGCTGGTTGTCCATGCGCCACATTGGGACACAGGTGGCGCTGTGGGTTAAACCACAGAGCCTAGGACTTGCCAATCAGAAGGTTGGCGGTTCGAATCCCCACGACGGGGTGAGCTCCCGTTGCTCGGTCCCTGCTCCTGTGAACCTAGCAGTTCGAAAGCACGTCAAAGTGCAAGTAGATAAATAGGTACAACTCCGGCGGGAAGGTAAACAGTGTTTCCGTACACTGCTCTCGTTCGCCAGAAGCGGCTTAGACATGCTGGCCACATGACCTGGAAGCTGTACTCCCTCGGCCAGTAAAGCGAGATGAGCACCGCAACCCCAGAGTTGTCTGCAACTCGACCTAACGGTCAGGGGTCCATTTACCTTTACCTTTACCATGCGCCACTGCCAATCTTTAGCTCCCATCTGTGCAACAACAAGTCCCCAGCCTTGCCACTGCTACTGCCACAGTCCCATCCAGGGTAATGCAGGTGTTGGGAGGATGGCTCCATTATGCCACCTTACCACATGTTTGCCTTCCCTGTTTTAACTTCATGGCAATTGCATCAGGTTTTGCTACTAGAGATGCCCCCCCTTCAGGGAGACTTCAGACCACTTCTTCCATTTTCATCTTCCGTCTTTCAAGAACTCCAGCCTTTTGTTGCTGGAGATGCAACGAAAAGCATGCAGACAGCATCCTGCACACTAAGGATTAAACCAGGAGTCAGCAAACTTTTCCAGCAGGGGGCCGGTCCACTGTCCCTCAGACCTTGTGAGGGGCCAGACTATATTTTGAAAAAGAAAAAGAGATGAACGAATTCCTATGCCCCACAAATAACCCAAAGATGCATTTTAAATAAAAGGACACATTCTACTCATGTAAAAACATGCTGATTCCTGGACAGATTTAGAAGGCAATTGGGCCGGATCCAGCCCCCGGGCCTTAGTTTGCCTACCCATGGATTAAACTTTCTTCCACCTCTTAGCATTTTGGCTCATGAGTGCAAAACTACTGGAATGATTGATAAGTGTTGGATGTTTATTTATAAAGCCAACGTTGCTCGTATTAATATTTAACACAATTAAATAACTTAGACATATTAGGCGGCCTTTGTTGAAGTTCTGCCTGTTCTACATTGACTCTGCCTCTTCTCCATCCCACTTTCTTGGTATATTCTTAGGCCTCTTCCAAACCACATTTCTGGCTATGGGTAAGGAGAATATGCTAGGGCAAATGCAGCCTGAAATCCTCTCGTTCCAAGGCTGCGTTGTGAAAGGGATGCTGGTCTCCTGAGAGCCCATGAGGGCAGCCAATTGTCTTGCAATTCTCTTAAGACCCTCTTACAGGGGAGCTAGACAATGAAGCCCGAGACAAAAATTCTGCAGTGTGGCGGCAAGAGTAATTAATTAGCTCCCTGCTGCCAGGGGCACTCAGAGTCCCAGCTGATGACAGTCTAATTAAGAACTTCCCTACTGTGTAAATTGTAGATAATCATTTGCTTTGGAACAAATTAACAATGGCTTTTCTAATAGTTTGTTTCGCGGGGGACTAATTAGAGTAATTAGTGGCACAAACTGAAAGGAACCTGAATAGGCATTTCAGACTTGTAGTTCACTAATGCCCCCAGACTATTGTTTGAGAGCATGTTGCAGGCTTTTAAAATTTTCTTTAATCAAGGGAGAACACTCCCATCTAAACCTGGTACCATGTTGTTGGCAGGACATTTCGCTGCTGAGTCTAAATGGACCTTTTGATGAAGGTGACCTTGACTGAGCGCTTTTCTTTTCTTGGAGCAAGTGGACAATAACCTCTAGGGGTGATTATGACGCTTGGGCTCAGATACTGTGACACGAACTGGTATTATGAGCCACAGAATGCCAGTTGTTAGGGAGCAAGAATGGGAGGTAGGCATGGCCTTCGTGCCTGGCTTATGGGCATCCTTTATTTACATGCTGGCTTTCCATAAAAAAGGGGAACAATACAACACAAGAATTATTTTATTCATTTGTTTATTTGAAACATATTTATCCCACCATTCAGCCCACCCCAAAAAAAGCTTCCAATGTGGTTGACAAAGACCTGTGAGAAGACAGCCCCTGTCCTCAGGCTTACAATCTAAGATACACCACACAAAAGGAAAAGGGATCCGGAGGGAGGAGGAATAATAAAGATAATAACACCCTCAGTTTTTTAGTAAGTTTTAAGAATACTAGAGAGTAACCTTCTCTCGTTGGCTTCAGTGGAACTTTTTCCCCGAGTGGAAATGTATAACTCAGCACTGTACAGTTGTAACCCTACGTGCATTTACCTGTAAGTAAATCACATATAATTTAAAATTTCAGAATCCACATTAGGGTAATACCTTTATCAGGCTAAGGAAACTTGTGTTCTCCGGAATTCTTTATTGGACTAGAATCTAGATGGTAAGGAAAACAAAAAAGTGACTGTGGCGGGGGGAGCGATGGTTGCGGTTGAAGCCATGGAGTCTTGCAATCAACAACTGCAAGAATAATTTGATGATGAGAGCAATCATAAAACGGTAAGGTATCATAAAGGTGAGCAGCATTCAAAAGAACATTTCAGTATTATAAATCTGATGACGTTGCACCTGGCAGCAGCAAAAATAAGGAAGCTTGAACTGTTTCATTTTGGCCCTAGATGTCCTAACCACTGCTGCTATAAGGTAAAGGTAAAGGGACCCCTGACCATTAGGTCCAGTCATGGCCGACTCTGGGGTTGTGGCGCTCATCTCGCTTTATTGGCTGAGGGAGCCGGCGTACAGCTTCCGGATCATGTGGCCTGCATGACTAAGCTGCTTCTGGCGAACCAGAGCAGCGCACGGAAACGCCGTTTACCTTCCCGCCGGAGCAGTACCTATTTATCTACTTGCACTTTGACGTGCTTTCGAACTGCTAGATTGGCAGGAGCAGGGACCGAGCAATGGGAGCTCACCCCATCGCGGGGATTCGAACCACCAACCTTCTGATTGGCAAGTCCTAGGCTCTATGGTTTAACCCACAGTGCCACCCGTGTCCCTACTGCTACTATATCTGCTGCAAATGAGCCATGGATCAAGTCGTCACGATCAAATGCCTAGGCCTCAGCCCATGAGGCTGTATGGGACACATCTGTTCACCTGTCTATCACCTGATGTCTTGTGGCATTAGACATGACACAGGCAAAGCTTTGAACAGCACCAAATTCAAAGACGTGTTGTGTGGCATTGAGTGATTGCATATCACTCACTCAATGTGGGGCTGGCCTTGAAGCTGACCCAGAAACTCCAGCAGGTGCAGAAGGCCGCAGTGAGACTCCTTACAGGGTCCTTGCCATGGAATCACATTCACCCGGTGCTATGCCAGCTGCACTGGCTCTCGGTGGAGTACAGGATCAGGTTTAAGGTGCTGGTTTTAACCTTTAAAGCCCTATGCGGCCTAGGACACTAGTACCTATCAGTTTTTCCTGATGTTTATTGGAATCTCCTTTCTTGTAACTTGAAGCCACAGGTTCGAGTCCTACCCTCCAGAATAGAGGAAAACAAGCTTGTTCCTTCTTTTATGTGACAGCCCTTGAGATGTTTGAAGATGGCTGTCATAATCTCCTCTCAGTCTCCTCTTTTCTAGGCTGAACATACCAGCTCCTTCAACCATTCCTCATAAGGCTTGGTTTCCGGACCCTTGATCATCTTGGTTTCCCTCCTCTGCACACATTCCAGCTTGTCAAAATCAATACAGTGGTACCTCGGGTTAAGAACTTAATTCATTCCAGAGGTCCGTTCTTAACCTGAAACTGTTTTTAACCTGAAGCACCACTTTAGCTAATGGGGCCTCCTGCTGCCGCTGCACCGCCACTGCGAGATTTCTGTTCTCATTCTGAAGCAAAGTTCTTAACCCAAGGTACTATTTCTGGGTTAGCGGAGTCTGTAACCTGAAGCATGTGTAACCTGAAGTGTCTGTAACTCAAGGTACCACTGTATCCATCTTAAATTGGTGTAGTGATGATGGAAATGCTTGGGGCAGGTGACAAAAAATGCGGAGTCGAGGGTCAGTTGTGGGGGGAGTGAGAAATGTCCCTATTTTCATGTGAGCAGTGTTGGAGGGTATGTGATTGACATAATGGAATCCCTATACCCCAACTCATTCCTAGTGAAAGTTGTTGTTTTCTTTCCCATGATACCCATGGTAAACTGTAGAGTAGCTCCTCAAAGCAAAGAACCGTGTGATCTTGATGACCTGCTAGATGTTGGCTCTGGCCCTGGTTGACAAATCTGCCTGTGCAACTTTCAGGCATTGCCAGCTTCTAATAGTGGGTGGTGCTGTGGTCTAAACAACAGAGCCTAGGGCTTGCTGATCAGAAGGTCGGCGGTTCGAATCCCCACAACGGGGTGAGCTCCTGTTGCTTGGTCCCAGCTCCTGCCAACCTAGCAGTTCGAAAGCACGTCAAAGTGCAAGTAGATAAATAGGTACCACTCTGGCAGGAAGGTAAACGGTGTTTCCGTGCGCTGCTCTGGTTCGCCAGAAGCAGCTAGTTATGCTGGCCACATGACCCAGAAGCTGTCTGCGGGCAAAAGCCAGCTGCATCGGCCTATAGAGTGAGATGAGCGCGCAACCCCAGAGTCGTCCGCAACTGGACCTAACGGTCATGGGTCCCTTTACCTTTTAACCGCATCAAATACTTTTCCAGTACACTGATACACAGCCTCGATTTTCTCTGCTCTCTAATGGCTGTTTAGGAGGTTCCATTATTATGGGATGTTGAGATGCTAGTGACTCACGTCCTCAGCACGAAGCCGATGGGCTGGGTTAAAAGAATTATTGCAGAATTTGTCACTTTTGTTTTTCTTTCCAAAAAGGTGGCTTTGCATCACAATAAGGAAAGAGGGGGGGTTAATACAATAGCCCCGAAATGCATATTGCGTCATCTTATTTTGCAACAGATGTCTCAATTGCTGTGCATGCACTTAAATAGGTTCTCAGGAAAAAAGCGAGGTGGGGAATTTACAGCTCAGTTGGCACAATTTCCTTTGTTTCCACGAAGTTCCATCTGCTGACGATTTCACCCCGTCAAAGGTGTCAACTCGGCCAGGGTCTTTCCTTTGGGGCCTGGGCTGCTGCCGCAGGAAAACAAAGGATGTTAGATAGCCTCAAAAAGGCACACAATCTCTGTTTATACACGACCACTGCAGCTAGAGTGGTATATGCAGAAAAAATGGAAAGAAAGGGATACCCACGAAAGAAATTGGGCAGAATAAATTGATAGAATACACAGAATTAGTAACCATGACCACGAAATTAAGGAATAAGTGTGAATCATGGAAAAGAGATGAGTGAAAGTGTTTGGGGGAGTACCTTAGAAGGTATAATAGTCAATTTAACCTACAAATAGGAATGAACATATGAGCAGCAGATAACACTAAATAAAGGAAGATTTGAGATGAAAATGGGTGGAATAATTGAATACGCAGCCGACAAAAGGCCACCTAGAATGCCATGGAGAGATGGATTGGGAAGTCCGAGGATACGGGATAAATGATTAATATTGTATGATGTACATATAAGTTGTATAAATGAATGGATGGATGGAAAACAAAGGATGTTGGGTATCCCAAACTTGCTCTTCGTTAAAAATTTCATTTGCCATGATGCCGTAGAAAGTTTCCACGTCATATTCAATATCTGACCCATTTCCAGCTTTGGGATCAAGAAGGAATTTTCACTTAGTCAAGTTGTCTAATACCCCTAACCTTCTTCAGATGTTTGCTTCTCGATACGATGTTTCAGGGTTCTAGATCACATGAGAAAGCTATGTCTTTGTTTGACAATCCAAGTGAGTCCAGCGATTTTCCTTTGACACTCGCAAGGCCGATCATGATCAGGATTTGGCCCATGGAGCCAAAAAAGTTCCCCACCTCTGCATTCGTGCAAAGATGTCTGCCTGAACAACAGGGTTCCTTTTCCTCTCCCTTTCCTGTGCCTCCCCATTATTTCCCAACCCTCCAGAGCAGATTTTGGAGGTGGGGGGAGGGTGCGAGGAGAGGGAGTCCTGCTGTGCAGGTGGAAGCACTTTTTCCTTTTCTCTATTTATTGGTTACGTTGTTTTGCTGCTCTTCTTATGGTATGTAAATAGTTTTTGTTTTACGGTGGTTGCATGCCACCTTGAGGGCCTGCGTGGGCCAAGAAATTATGTAAGTAAGTCACTAAATGAATGAATCCAATACTTAGCTAAATGCATTTTGTCGTGAAAAGTAATTCGCAGATTTTGGGGTGTGTGTTTTTTGCTGAGACAGCCCTCATCTGAATCTCAGCAGGCCTGCAACAGGAATTGAGTCACTCTTGATACCTGGTGGGGAACTAAATCTGTGGCATGCTGCTGTTTTTGTTCTGCTTTCATTTAGCTTTTAGAAGATCTTATTGACTGCCAGTCACATTTTTTATTGCTTTTATGCAAACCACTTGGAGATTTTTACTCTGTTAAGTGGAATGCATTTTTAATAGATAAATAAATACGGTACGTGGTTCTTTAATGAACATAGGAAGCTGCCATCTAATTCAGTACAGTGGTACCTCAGGTTACATACACTTCAGGTTACAGACTCTGCTAACCCAGAAATAGTACCTCAGGTTAAGAACTTTGCTTCAGGATGAGAACAGAAATCATATTCCGGCGGCGCTGCGGCAGCAGAAGGCCCCATTAGCGAAAGTGGTGCTTCAGGTTAAGAACAGTTTCAGGTTAAGAACGGACCTCCGGAACGAATTAAGTACCTAAACCGAGGTATGCGGGTGGCGCTGTGGGTTAAACCACAGAGCCTAGGACTTGCCAATCAGAAGGTCGGCGGTTCGAATCCCAGAGACAGGGTGAGCTCCCGTTGCTCAGTCCCTGCTCCTGCCAACCTAGCAGTTCGAAAGCACATCAATGTGCAAGTAGATAAATAGGTACCACTCCGACAGGAAGGTAAACGGCGTTTCCGTGTGCTGCTCTGGTTCGCCAGAAGCGGCATAGTCATGCTGGCCACATGACCCGGAAGCTGTACACTGGCTCCCTCGGCCAATAAAGCGAGATGAGCGCCGCAACCCCAGAGTCGGCCACAACTGGACCTAATGGTCAGGGGTACCTTTACCTTTACCACTGTAATACCTACACTCCCACCTGTCCCTAGAGATGCTGGGGATTGAAGCTGGGGCCATGCAAAAGAGATGCTCTACCACTGAGCTACACTCCCTCACCGCTCCCTCTGTTCAGTATGAAAGGATATCCTTTGGACAGGCTCTTTGAAAGCCCATGTGCCAAGAGATCAGTTCTAATGTGTTCTACAGAGTTGTGTGGACAAAGAGAAACAACAGAGCATGTGCTTCTCCAGTGCCTATTATAAAGACATTTGTATTAGCCTCATCTCCCCACTACTCCATAAGTATCCAGGGTGCACAGGACAATTCTATACCTCCCTGCTGCTTTCAGATACCAACCCTGCTACAACATACAATGTCGCCAGGTTCTGCAGAGCAGCGTTCAAAATTCGTCGCATGATGACCTGTGCCACAAACTAGATTGAATGAACACTCATATCAGAGTGCTTTTGTAAATTTCTTTGTAAATTGGTAGTCAAAGCCTTTATATACTAACCTTTTACACTCTTCCATATCCATTTAATGGGACGCGGGTGGCGCTGTGGGTTAAACCACAGAGCCTAGGACTTGCCGATCAGAAGGTCGGCGGTTCAAATCCCTGCGACGGGGTGAGCTCCCGTTGCTCGGTCCCTGCTCCTGCCAACCTAGCAGTTCGAAAGCACGTCGAAGTGCAAGTAGATAAATAGGTACCGCTCCGGCGGGAAGGTAAACGGCGTTTCCGTGTGCAGCTCTGGTTCGCCAGAAGTGGCTTAGTCATGCTGGCCACATGGCCCAGAAGCTGTCTGCGGACAAACGCTGGCTCCCTCGGCCAATAAAGTGAGATGAGTGCCGCAACCCCAGAGTCGGTCACGACTGGACCTAATGGTCAGGGGTCCCTTTACCTTTACCTTTTATCCATTTAATGCTCCTATCCCTTCTTTTAGATTCTTTTAGATTCTTATAGTCTTTTACATATACCTTCTGTTTTAATAACTTCATATTTCCAAAATGTTCTATAGATTTTAAATGATTCTACCCCACCCTACTTATGCTGGTCTATGACCATAATAAAGATTTGATTGATTGAGAGTTGTGTCAGAGACATCTCCCACGGTCTTTATGGTGCCACGCAGAATGCTTGCTGGAACGTTGAATGGCGCCCAGGGAGAGCTTCACTTTCCCCAAACTGCGCAACTGGTTCCATCCTCCCAGCCTGAATTTCACGAAGGGGGGTCTGAAACCGGAGCACGCAACATGCTTCGACGGTCCAATGTTTGCCGAAGAAGGCCAGGGCTGGCAACGACGAGAATGCAAAGCCTAGCATAGCATTCTCCGGGGTTACTGCGAACTGCCTATTTGAAAACAGCAGTGTCCTCTGAGCAGTTATGCTCTCTTGTCATTTTTCATTTCCTCAGGTGCCTGTCAGATATCTGTCAGCCGCAGTGTGTGCTTGGAGAGAGACCCTGCTTCCCAGTCTTCCAGCGCTCGTCTTCACTCTTGACTAAACATCCTGAGGTTGCCTCTGCCGGAATGAGAGGAAGTTAGCACTGCATGAGCAGTTCCACAGCAGCCAACTGAGCAAACACAGAGCTCAGAATCAGTGACTTGGAAGAGAAGTGGAGCATCTATCCCAGATCCATAAGCTGGATGGATTCCCTGGATCAAAATGAAAGCCTAGAGATGATGGCATCCTCCTTTTTAAAAAAAATCCTGGAATGCCATGATTAAGACTAACCTCCCTTCACCAGCATGTGTCAACAACTTGTACCGTTCCCAAATGTTCATTGCTTGCTTGTAAACAATAATTAAATCAGCATTTGTGTCTCCCCACATCTGTAATTCAAATGTAAAAAAAAAAGAAATTGGCTGATATACCCATAGGATTTGCACTCATAACCTAATTACTTCTTCCCAATGTCATCTGCTTGGCCACTGTGAGAACAGGGGGTCAGACTAGTTAGGCCAGACATGTCCAAAGTCTGTTTTGAGGGTCTAATGTGGCCCTCCGGTTGGTTTAATCTGGCCCCCACAGAGCAGATCCTTCCCACGGTTCTAAAAAAAGGTAATCAACTCTGGGGTAAAATCCTAAAAAAAAGCTCAAAAACTTTGGTCAGCCCTCACACATGTTCACTTCATCAAATCTGGCCCTCTTTGAAAAAAGTTTGGGCACCCTTGAGTTAGGCCTTTGGTGTGACCCAGCAGTGCCCTTATTTTGCCCCGGATTTCCTAATTTATTTATTCATATATACATTTTTTTTATTCGTATCACACTGTTGTGAAAGCCTCAACATACAAAACAACAACATTTAAATTTAAATGCCACCCATCTGACTGGGTTGCCCTGGCCACTCTGGGTGGCTCCCAACAAAATATTTAAAATATCTTGGTGAAAGGGCCTTTTCTGTGCCAAACTATGGAACTCCCTCTCAGGTCACACTCAACAAGTACCTTCATCATTATCTTTTAAACTCCTAATAAAGTGTGTTGTGCATTCTCTTGAAGTTTTCATTGTCTCTGACTTCTTTTGTGGTTTGTCTCCCCACCCGCCACCCCCTGAATTAGTATCTCAGTACTTTGCTTTGTATTTTATCTGCTTTTCTTAATACAGCTGTAATTCTCTATTCTTTTTATATGTGTTAGATATTATATTTTATTCATGATACCTCCACCCCTATCCTGCAGCCCAGACACTGAGGTCCAGCTCCAAGGGCCTTTTGGTGGTTCCCTCACTGCAAGAAGTGAAGTTACAGGGAACCAGGCAGAGGGCCTTTTCGGTAGTGGCTCCCACCCTGTTGAATGCAATGCCCTTCCACTAGATGTCAAACAGATAAACAGCTCAATGACTTTAAGAAGACATTTGAAGGCAGCCCTGTTTGGGGAATCACAGAATTGTAGAGTTGGAAGGGACCAAAAGGGTCATCAGGACGCGGGTGGCTCTGTGGTCTAAACCACAGAGCCTAGGGCTTGCGAATCAGAAGGTCGGCAGTTCGAATCCCCGCGATGGGGTGAGCTCCCGTTGCTCAATCCCTGCTCCTGCCAACCTAGCAGTTCGAAAGCACGTCAAAGTGCAAGTAGATAAATAGGTACCGCTCCGGCGGGAAGGTAAACGGTGTTTCCGTGCGCTGCTCTGGTTCGCCAGAAGCGGCTTAGTCATGCTGGCCACATGGCCCAGAAGCTGTACGCCGGCTCCCTCAGCCAACAAAGCAAGATGAGTGCCGCAACCCCAGAGTCGGCCACGACTGGACCTAATGGTCAGGGGTCCCTTTACCTTTATAAGCATCATCAAGTCCAGCCCCCTGCAATTCAAGAACCTTTTGCCCAACATGGGGTTCAAACCCATGGCCTTGAGATTAAGCGTTTTATTTCACCTGGAGTACTGTGTCCAGTTCTGGGCACCACAGTTCAAGAAGGACACTGACAAACTGGAACGTGTCCAGAGGAGGGCAACCAAAATGGTCAAAGGCCTGGAAACGATGCCTTATGAGGAACGGCTAAGGGAGCTGGGCATGTTTAGCCTGGAGACGAGGAGGTTAAGGGGTGATATGATAGCCATGTTCAAATATATAAAAGGATGTCACATAGAGGAGGGAGAAAGGTTGTTTTCTGCTGCTCCAGAGAAGCAGACACGGAGCAATGGATCCAAACTACAAGAAAGAAGATTCCACCTAAACATTAGGAAGAACTTCCTGACAGTAAGAGCTGTTCAACAGTGGAATTTGCTGCCAAGGAGTGTGGTGGAGTCTCCTTCTTTGGAGGTCTTTAAGCAGAGGCTTGACAACCATATGTCAGGAGTGCTCTGATGGTGTTTCCTGCTTGGCAGGGGGTTGGACTCGATGGCCCTTGTGGTCTCTTCCAACTCTATGATTCTATGTTCTACTAGCTGAGCTATCCCTGCCCTGGAAGCTTTTAATGTCTGATGTTTTATTGTGTTTTTAATATTCTGTTGGGAGCTGCCCAGAGTGGCTGGGGCTACCTAGTCAGATGGGCAGAATAATAATAATAATAATAATAATAATAATAATAATAATAATATAGAGTGAGGGCATGTGCCCTCAAGCTCATTGGCATCCCTGAAAATGTCGATACGCCCAAGCAACTATTTGGGACAGCTCCGGGGGCGAGCTGAGTGGTGTAGCAATTTGCAAAAGCCAAACATTTTAAACCAGCTTGAATTGTTTGTCCAATTCCCCCAGTGACGGCTAAAAGCTCTCTTGCTGCGCTTGCACACAGAGAGCAGCAAGACACGAGCTTCAGCCTCCTTCCGTATCACCCTCTAAAATCTAAATGGATCTGCATCTTGGTGCCAATCAGCACTTATTTCTCTTGGACAGGGTCCTGAGTAATTTTCCCTGGAATACGCAGGAGGCAGGCCAGGGCCCAGCTGCCCATTGCCGTTGAAACCCGATCAGCTGTCTGCGCTGAGTCTATGTAACAGCTGCTCTGCTCCTCCCTGCTCTGAGCTCATACACACACACCCTGCCTCAATTCCCAAGCGGGTGCCTAAAGAGTGGGCTCAACTTCATTAACACGTCTATGCCAGGGAAACGTTTCCTGGGATCAAAGCTTAAATGCATGTTAACTGGATCAAAAGCTCTTTAGGAGCACGCCTGAGAGCTGAAGTAATGAATGGGGCATCCATTGGTATTAAACACAAAATCTGGCATAATCCATTAATGTTCCGGGTAATTCTGTTAACTCAGTACCCAACTGCTTTCTAATGGGGAGAGCACCACATTCCTCCTGTACAAATGGCCAGCATTCTTGCTCATCAGCCATGGAAGATTTTATAAATGGATATCCATCATTCTCTCTGTGTCTCTCTCTGTCTGTCTCTCTGCATATTTTCTGTCTTGGTTCCATTGCATAGTTATCTTGATTTTCTCAGCCTGCTAGAAAAACCTAGGAACCATAGCTAGAAGGAAAGATGGTCTAATCCAGGGGTAGGCAACCTAAGGCCTGTGGGACGGATGCAGCCCAATCGCCTTCTCAATCCGGCCTGTGGACAGTCCGCGAATCAGCGTGGTTTTACATGAGTAGAATGTGTGCTTTTATTTAAGATGCATCTCTGGGTTATTTGTGGGGCATAGGAATTCAGTCATTTGTCCCCCCCAAAATATAGTCCAGCCCACCACATGGTCTGAGGGACGGTGGACCGGCCCACGGCTGAAAAAGGTTGCTGACCCCTGGACTCTAATCTGACCTGTGGAGGAAATCTGCTCAATGTACCAGTCCCTTGCAGACAGGGACATAACGAGGCACACTTTCTCATTCCAGCCTGTTTTTAACACATGCCCCATTGCTTCCATTTTGCTGCAGTTCGCCTTTCACTAAAATCTACATCAATCAGCTCACTGTCTACCATGGCAAAATTATGTAACATACATCATTTAATTAATTAATTTACATCATCATCGCACTATTCTGCACCATTTATTTCAATGCAAAGGAAACATAATGCAAACAGGAGAAAACGTAATCAATTACGTCTCATTCGTGGACTGGAAGCAAGAAGAATCGCTAATATCAATTGGCTTCACGGGATCGATTTCCACTCTAGATATAGAATGAATGAGGGAACGTGTTTGTCTTTATAAAAAATAAAAAATAAAAAATTATAAGCTTTTACAATATACAAAATAAAAATAAAAATAAATCTAATTCACAGACAATCATTTTCTTATCTCAACTCCCCTCCTCCTCTTTCTGTGGTTCCTTGTTTATATTTTAATTTACTGCATATCCAAATTATACCAGTTTGTTATATGTTGTTGTTGTTTTTCTTATTGCACGTTGTTAACATTAACCCTGCCAAAGTCTTAATTTGCTTACAAAAACTTTGCAAATATACTATAAATGAGTTACATTCTTTCTTAAAAACTGGATCTTCTTGATTTCTTATTCTTCTGGTGAATTTTGCCATTTCTGCATAGTCCATTAGTTTCTGTAACCATTCTTCTTTTGTTGGGACATTTTCTTCTTTCCATCTTTGGGCATATAACATTCTAGCAGCAGTGGTCACATACATAAATACATTTTTATATTGCTTAGGTAACTCTAATCCCATTAATCCCAAAGGGAAAGCCGCTGTTTTCTTAATAAAGGTTAACGTAAACATTTTTTTCAGTTCATCATATATCATTTCCCAGTAAGCTTTTTTTTTTATTACAAGTCCACCACATATGGGAAAAGGTACCTTCTTCTTCTTTACATTTCCAACATGTGCCTGATTCAGATTTGTACATCTTTGCTAGCCTATTAGGTGTTAAGTACCATTTATACATCATTTCCATATAATTTTAAGGGAACATGTTTATCATGGCCTTTGGCTAGAAGAGCAAACTTATGAATTAACTATGAATAAGGGAACGTTGGCAGTTTCTGTTCCCATTTCCATTTTTATTGGAATTTTCCAAGATCCCTACTTGCAGATCAGCCTCTGTTTTTTGGATCCTGATTTGCCTCAAGCAAGGGAGGAGACACACAGGGAAAAGGTGCCAAGGCACAACAGTGCAACGTGTGCTTTGCAAGAAAGCCAAGCTACACGCATCAGAGGATGGAAACATTCACATACAGGCAGATCAGATCAACTGGAATTGATCACAGATCCCTCAATTCAAATGGCAGCAATGGCAGTTCCTTCTCTAAAAAAGAGCTTGCCCACCTCCACTGATATTCTGCTGGAGAGAACAGCTGCCTGCGGCAGTGTTGAGCATGTCCTAGGCAGTGCTATTTTTCTAGAAAAAGAGGTGCTGGAACACTTCCCTTGTTCTCCTTTAGTGGCAATGGCGTCCACCAGAGAGGTGCCGGAACTGAGCTCCAATGGGGTGGGAGGAAGCCCTGGTTCTA